GCCGTAGCGAGGACGTTACAAGATGCTTTTGAAAGCAGGCTTGAGCTTAAAACGATGGACCACATTCATGAGGGATGGTTCCACGGCGTCGAGGCGGACCAAGGATTTGTGCCGCTGCGGGCTCTTCAACCGGCAAGTGTAGCCCTGGCAGACCCCCTCCGGTGGATGTGCTGTTTGGCCCGAGGGGGCAAAATCATAACAAGCAAGGTATATTTGGCCAACGCTATCATCAACAGAAATAACGGGCTCTAGCAAAGATTTTGATGGCTTCTCTAATCCTGCCCAGCTTGTTGAGAAGATGAACTCATCAACATCTATGACAGCCATCCATTGGCACGAAGCTTGCTGTGTGGCCGCGCAATGAGACAGACCAGCTTCTTGGACCTTGGTCCAAGGCCATGGCACGGTTGTGATGTTGAGCCCGGAGGATAAGCTGCGCCACTAGGCCTGCCAAGTTGTCCTCGCTGCCATTATCATAGATAAAGAACTGATCCATCCCAATCGCACTATGGTAGAGTGCCCACTCCCTGAGAAACTTGGAGATGTTGCGTCCCATTGTGCAGGCGCAAATTGAACTCTTTTGAGGAGTCACCGAAGAAGATTCAGCTTGCTGTCGACGAAAGGTTGCAAGGGAGGGCATGGGATCCTCGCCGGTGACCCCTAGTGTGACAAGAACCTTGGTGCTTCCTCCTGACTTGACAGGTGTCGGCGGCGAGGGGCAGCGAGTAACTTGCTGTACTGAGGTGATTGCCGGTGTAGTTGCCAGCATGGTATCGGCGCCGTCGCTGTAGCGATACAGGCACTGAAGGCCTTGGCGGCGGCTGATTCCCTTAGCGAAGACGAGCACGTCGCCTCCGTCCAGATGAGCCGAGTCAAACACTATCGGGTCGCTGCTCCAGTTAAGCAATGCGCGGCCCGGAGAAGGAGAAGGGGAATCTGGAGCAGCTGCGGCGGCCGAGGAGGTGGAGGAGTGGAGTAAGAGCGGCGCTTGGAGCTGCTGGAAGCTCTGCGCTGGGTCGGGAAGGCGGCAGACGTATGCGTGAAGTCCGGACGCCGGCAGCATCCCGAGCGGTCTCGCCGGGGAGGAAGCCCCGCCCTGGAAGGCGCAGATGGCGTCGCCGGTAGGCTCAGCGTCGTCCAGGATCAGGACCTCCTGGTCGGGAAGGAGGACCGCATCCGCGTTCTGCTGCGGCGGCGATTGGCTGGCGCGGAGGCGGAGGGGCAGAAGGCGCCGCGCGAGGCTGTCATCGCTGAGGCGGAAGGGCGAGTATTGGGATTGCGGGGACGGCGAAGGAGAAAAGTCGGCAGCGAACGGGAAGGGCGGGGGCGCCGGACTGTCGGCGACGAGCGGGAAGGGGGCGCCGAGGCCGAGGGGCAGCGAGAAGACCGGGCGGCCCGAGTAGGCGTTGTGGCCTCCGCTTCCGGCTAACAGCAGGAGAGCTCCGACTGAGACACCGCCGACGATGCGGCGCAGCCGGCTGCAGCGGCGGTGTCGCGGCATATTGGATTCGGCGGGAGCACGGCGGGAGCTTGATTTCGCGGGAGAAGGAGCGTGATTTGGCGGGAGCTCGAAGGCGAAAGATTGAGATTTCGCGGGAGCAGGGAGCAGAGCTTCGATTGCTGGGTTGCGACCGAGAAGACGGTCTCGGTCGATCGATCTGGGTTTAGGGTTTTCGACCCGACCCGCACACGGATTGGTTTTTTTTCCTCCCCAGGTCAGGCTGGCGGGCCGCTGGGTCGGTTCCACTTCCCGCGTCGGTCGGATTGGGCTCCACCACGTCATTACGATCAGGCACGCTGGATTTTGCGAAACGTGCTCTCTTTTCTTTTTTTTTTATAATGTAATAAAACGTGTTGCCTTCTCCAATTCCACGCCGAGCCTCAGGAGAGAGTTGTTAGGGTTAGAACATGTCTAGCAGATCCCGCGAACCGGTCCTGTCCGCTATAATAACTGCCGTTTTATGGGATCCATACTATATCTCCGGTCCGAACAGATACTTCAAATCGGGCCGCCCCGAAAAAGAATTTGTGGGATCCCGCATCCGCGAGCCCAATTCCTTCATATGTGCGGATTTCATCTGATTTTGTCGAATCCCCTTTCGGTTGTCGCGAACCCACTTCCGTCGGCTTCACTTCCCACCTCCCACCCCGTCGCCGCCGCCAATCCATCCTCTGACCTCGCTGTCCTTCCTCGCGGCGCCAAAATTCAGCCGAATGGCCGCCCCTGGTGCGTTATACCATGTGTCGTTGTAGCTCTATATGCCCTGGCCTCCCACGGCCGCAACTCCTTCCGCTGTCGCTCCAATTCCTTCCGCCGCCGCTCCATGTGTTGCCTTCTAACTCCAAATCAACATCGAGCCCCCGGAGAGAGCGGTTAGGGTTAGCAAGGCGAAAAGGAGGCGATCGGGTCCTTTTGCGTTGAAGATGGCAAAGATGAAGGAGGCTATGCTAGCCAAGCATTGGGATGCAAAAGTGGTTATGGCCGAGGAGAAAGAGAAGCACAAAGAGGAGAAGTGTGAGAATAGGTGTGCCTTCGAGGAGCGCAAGCTCATCCTAGGGGAGAAAAAGAGGAAGGACAAGACGACCGCCGAGGAGGACCGGTTCATGATGATGAATTCGGAGGGCATGGATGCAATGGAAAGAGACTTTTGGGAGACGAAAAGAATGGAGATCATGCTCTGAAGAAAGATGGAGCTTCAAAAACTTATGGACGGTGTTGGTGTTGGGTTTGGTGGGTGTTTTTCTTTCGGCAATGTTGGTGGTGGCTTTGGCATGGGTGGTGTGGTGGTGTTGGCTTCGACATGGTTGGTGGTGGTGGTGGTGCCAGCTTCCACATTGGTGGTGGTTGCTTCGGCATGGGTGATGGTGGCTTCGGCATGGGTGGTGGTGCTTCAGCAAGCCATGTCAATGGTGGTGGTGCTCACTCTCCTGTCCAAGTTCGTGAGGATGGTGGTGCGAGCTCTTCGGTTCAAGTTCATGAAGATGGTGGTGCGAGCTCTCCAGTCAATGTGAATGATGGCGATGGTGGTGCGAGCTCTCTGGTCAATGTGGATGATGGCGATAGAGGTGCTAGGGACGATGTTGGTGGTGACGTTCTTCACAACAATGAGAATGTTGCTTGATTTATCTATGTCATTTGAGTATCTTTTGTCTTGTTTTATCATGCATTCACGAGCCTAAACTTGATACCTCGTATGTTGCGCATTGGATGCGAACGAACTAGTATGATGATCAACTAGTTATATATATATACACACACACACACACTAGCAAAAAGACCCGTGCGTTGCAACGGGAGAGACAATTGTATCTGCAAAATGCATTTGCATTCAAGCTGAATTTAATCTTTACCGAGATATGTGGGAACAAAGATTGCATATCTTTAATATGAACTAAAATTCTAAGTGAGTGACAAAAATAGGTTGAAAAATCAAGAGTTACACTAATAGAACTTTAAGAAAATAAACTCAAATCTGCAGTAGAGAAGTGCACTCGGGCAGTAATTTTTTCTCTTGAGGATTGCAATAAACATAGAACTTTTTTATATTTGATAGTACAAACGGAAAACTTCATATTTTGTGGTTGCAAGGTTGCATGATATTTTTTTACGGATAAATCATGGTTTGCGAGTTCAGCTACGAAAACAAAAAAATTCTTTTCTGATTTGAGATGAAAATTCTTTTCTGATTTGAGATGACTTTTAGTTGAAGTGCGGCACATAGAAAACATGCCCTGGCATCATGGGTGTAGTAACTTGTAAAGAAAACTTTGTACATGAGCTCCCACATTAAAAGGCCAAGGATACATAATGACGGGCAAACAGGGAACGTGTTTACCTCATATAGAGGTCTTGTACTCTGTGTGGTTTCTCTTAATTTCTAAAACTAAATTAAAATTAAAAAGAGGTAAACACTTTAGTTGAAGTGCGGCACATAGAAAACATGCCCTGACACCATGGGTGTAGTAACTGGTAAAGAAAACTTTGTACATGAGCTCCCACATTAAAAGGCCAAGGGTACATAATGACTGGCAAAAAGGGAACGTGTTTACCTCATATAGAGGTCTTGTACTCCTTGTGGTTTCTCTTAATTTCTAGAACTAAATTAAAATTAAAAAGGGGTGACGACTGGATTCAAACCCGCACCTCCTAGGTAGATGTGTGGCGCTCTAGCCACCAGGCTACAACATCTTTGCTGATGTTAAGGGAGATTCGCTAGCTGATAAACCAAATTTAGCGCAGCAACCTGCGATGGAAAAAACGAAACGTTTTTTTTGACTTATAGTTGGCATACTCGGTAATTTGTAGCAACTTTAGGGGTTATTTATATGACGTATGGGCAGAAGCAATAACCATTTTATTATTAAAA